CCTGGCTTTTTTTTTTTTTTTTTTGAGACAGGGTCTCACTAGGTTGCCCTTGGTACAGTATTGTGGCGTCACAGCTGACAGCAACCTCTAACTCTTGGGCTTAAGCGATTCTCTTGCCTCAGCCTCCCAAGTAGCTAGGACTACAGGTGCCCACCACAATGCCTGGCTATTTTGTTTTGTTGCAGTTGTTGTTTTAGCTGGCCGAGGATGGGTTTGAACCCACCAGCCTTGGTGTATGTGGCTGGCGCCCTACCCACTGAGCTATGGGCATGCCTGGCTTTTTTTTTTTTTTTGGCTGGGGCTGGGTTTGAACCCACCACCTCCAGTATATGGGGCTGGCGCCCTACTCCTTTGAACTACAGGCACCGACCATGCCTGGCTCTTTTTTAGAGACAGGGTCTTGCTCTTGCTCAGGCTAGTCTTGAACCTGTGAGCTCAACACCAGCCTGAGCCAGAGCCAGACCTCAACCTTGTCTCTAAAAAAAAAATATTGTGGCAGGCACCTGTAGTCCCAGCTACTCAGGAGGCTGAAGCAAGAGAATTGCTTAAGCCCAGAATTTGAGGTTGCTGTGAACTATGACGCCATAGTATTCTACTGAGGGTGACAAAATGAGGCTGTCTCAAAACCAAAAAAAAATTTTTTTTTTGGTTGTCACAAGTACGAGACATAAAACACAGCTTTACCATTTACAGTCAGACTTTTACTGCCTCAGTGAGCATATCTGCTGGTGGCACCCTCTGACCCCTGCTGTGCTGCAGCCAAAAGGGTCTGCTCAGAGCCAGGCTTACCTTGGGTCCCACCACTACCTACAACTCTTCCCAGGCTCTGCACTGCTCTCATAGTGAGGCCCCAATTCCTCAGTGGCTCAGATGCCTGAGGGCTTATAGCCTAGGATGCTCCTGGCTGGCCTGTTGGGTTCAACTGTGCCTGGGGTCCTCTGTCTGGGGCCGAGCTCCCCCTCTTCCTGCAGCAATTTCTTGAGACCTCTCTGACCTCCCTGGTGCCAGACCCCGAGGGTAACAAGTGGTTGGTTCCCAGTCTCCCAGGACCCTGTGGGGCATATGACACATCAGAAGCTTTTTGGGGGGGGCTGGGGCTGAGCCTGTACCTCCCACCCAGCAAAGGAAAGGTCCCTGGTAACAGAACTGGCACTGCCTCCAAGGGTGAAGATCGGCAGGTACCCCTATACTCAAGTGCCCCTTCTTACCCAGCACCCCCTGCACCTCCCACTCCTGCCCACCAGCCCTCCTACACACATTCCCTGATCGTGTACTGTACACCACACCTTTCTGCCTACCCAGCGCTCTTCCTGCAACCTTCTCATTCACCCAGCACCCCCCACAAACCTCCACTCACCCAGCGCCTTGCAAAGCTCCGGGTGTTTCACCCCGATGGTCTTCAACCTTTGCAGTAGCTCTGACGAGGTCAGCTGCCGCACCAGGTACAGGGCCACTGAGTAACTCTGGGGGCAGAGGACTCCAGGTGAGGCCTGGGTGGGGCCAGGCAAAAAAGGGTAAGGCAGCAGTGGCTCACTCACCTTGCCGTAGTTCCCCCAGGTAACGGTGATACGGTTGGTGGCAGAGGACAGGTACATGAGGTGGGTAAGGTTGATGGGGCGGCATGGTCTCTTGGGCTCCACTCCAGGCTTGTTCGAGGGGTAGTAGCCCTATAAATACATAGGCCAGGTGTCCTTCAGTTCCGTCCCTTCCTCCACAGGCCCCACCTGTCCCTGAAGCAGATCTTGGGGGTGGCTGTAACTCACCGGGACCGAGCAGTAGCTGTGGTTGACTTTCACAGCAATGTTGGGTGGGTACTGGTCTTCCTGGGGGCAGCTGGTATCTGAGTAACAGATTCTGCAACAAGAGGGGCTGTGGGGCCTCTGGCGGGGTGCAGGGGTCTTTGCAATGCTTCCAGGGAGGACACTCATGGGGGCTGAACAGCAGGCCTAGGTGAAGGTGGAATCTGGCTAAACCATGCCAAGGGGTCATGCAGTGTCTGGCCTGAGTGACTGAGGGAATGGCAGTGTGTCCCTGATAAGGGTAGATAACAGGGAGAGAGAAGCCAAGCTCTGTCTCTTCCTGAGAGTTTGAGGGGCCTGGGCCACGATGCATTTGGGACAGGATGTAGAAAGGCTATGGCTACCCAGGTGGGAGAGGCAATGGCGACTGAGGGCCCACACTGGGGTTGTGGGCACACCTGTGCATACCTCAGGACGACCTGCACAGCTTTCACTCCAGGCTGCAGTTCTCTGTGGGCATCAAGTAAACCAAAAGGGAGGAAAGGACAGGTCAATGAGGGGCACCCCTAGTACACCACACCCACCCATCAGACCAGTGGGGCAGGGACCTTGCCTGGGCAGGGCTGCCCCCACCTCCAGCTGGGATACTGAGGCGCAGGCCCTGGGGAGACAGGGACATCTGTGGGGTCACTGCGGAGGGCTGCCTCCCTGGGAACGCAAGAGAATCAACCGCAAAGCCCCTGTAATAAGAGGAGACAGCAGGGGCTGCCCACTCCCCTGATGGAATCACAGACAAGCACACCAGAATCACTGGCCAATGGGCAGCAGCAGGAAAATCGCCCAAAACACCTAAGGATAAACTTAAACAAGAAATTCACCCAAGAGAAATGAGAAGTTATGTATAACTAAGACTTGTGTGTGAATATTCATGGCAGCATGATTAGTACCAGTTACAAAGTAGAAATAGTACAAGTGTCTACCACAGACCAAGAGATAATCAAAACAGGGTCCATCCATGCACTGGAATATCACTCAGTCATGAAAAAGAAAAAACTTTGACGAAGGCTACGGAGTGGATAGACCTTGAAAACATCATGCTCAGTGAGAGATGATAGCCAGACACAGGAGGACACACAGTGTGTGATTCCATGTATATGAAAGGTCCAGAACAGGCAGATCTGCAAAGGCAGGAGGACTTGTGGCTTCAGAGATTGAGTGAGGGAATAAACAGTACTATGGCCATGGCCAGATTCCCAGACCCTCATCCATCCTCACCTCACCTCACCCCCAGCTCAGCCATCCTCACCTGGGGGTGATTCTGCCCCCAGGAAACACTTGGAGATGTCTGGAGACATCTGTAATTATCAAAATGAGGACAGGGAATTCCTGCCATGGGTGGATAGAGGCAGAGACATTGTTCAGCACCTGCAGTGCCCCACCGCAGAGAGCTGGTTCCAATGACCATAATACCTGGAGGTATGGGGGTCGCCCAGTATAGCCACTGAGGGCTCTGGGGCTTAAAGGCAGTGAGCATGTGTTGAGCAGAAGGCACTGCAAACCCAGGACAGGGATTTCTAAAACAACCCTGCTGCTATGGACCCCAGTTCTGGAGCAAGCCCGACCAGGACCTGTAGTGGCTATGGCTGGAGGTTCTCCTGAGCCAGCCAAGGCCTTGGGGTAGTCAGCAGAGAATTGGGGCTCTGGCACACCTGGAGTTTCGGATCAGCTCCACCTGTCTGGGCGTCAGGGCAAAGATGCATGGGCTCTCCTGAAGCTTCTCGTTACTCTGTGGGACTAAAGAACACATGGGTCAGCGCAAATGTTGGGCCCCAGCAAGCCACCCCCCCAACTCCAGCCCAGCCACTTCCACAGGCCTGCTCTTCTTCAGACCAGGAAACAGAAGTAGGAAGCTGGCTGCACAGAGCAGGGCCACTCAACCCAGCCTGTGGTTTGGGAAACACTCAGTTCCCCTGCCCATGCCCCTCAATGGGACCACTCATAGAGCAGGGCGGCCCTTACTCACAACCTGCTGGAGTTCAGTTGTCTATTTGGGAACATGGAAAACTGCTAGGCTTGGGGAGGAGAGCCATGCCTTGGTGGCAGGGCACAAATTGGCCTGGGCCCTTGCTCTCTGCATGCCCTCAGGCTAGCCCTGACACCTGAACAGTGGTCTAGCTGAGAGTACTCACAAGCCAGCAAAGTAAGGAAGTAAAGCTCCAAGTGCACAAAAACTAGAGTCCAAGCTTGGTGCCTGAACTCAGTGAGTAGGGCATTGACCACATACACCGAAGCTGGTGGGTCTGAGCCCAGCCCAGGCCTGTCAAGCAACAATAACAACTGCAACCAAAAAATAGCTAGGCATGTGGCAGATGCCTGTAGTCCCAGCTACTTGGGAGGCTGAGGCAAGAGAATCTCTTAAGCCCAAGAGTTTGAGGTTGCTGTGAGCTGTGACACCATAACACTCTACTGAGGGCGACACAGTGAGACTCTGTCTCAAAACAAAACAAAAAAAACTAGAGTCCAGAAGAGGTCAGCTTATAGCAGGGATGTGACAGGAGTATCAGAAGCCAGGGAGATGCAAACACGATCCCTCCCTCAGCATCATAAAGTACCTATCTATGTTCTGCAAAGGGACAAAAGCCACTGTGATTCCAAGTCTGGGCCTGACTCTCAATTATAACTGGACTGAGAAGCACAGAGACAGTTAGAAAAAACCAAAAGACAAACTACTTCTGCGGGATATAGCCAAAGCAGTCCTCAGAAAGAAGGTTATAGCTGTTAGGCTGGGCACGGTGGCTCATGCCTGTAATCCGAGCACTCTGGGAGGCCAAAGAGGGTGGATCCCTTGAGCTCAGGAGCTCAAGACAGTCTGAGCAAGAGTGCAACTCTGTTTCTACTAGAAATAGAAAGAACTAGCTGGCATAGTGGCACATGCCCATAAAACCAGTTACCTGGGAGGCGAGGCAGGAAGGTCACTTAAAGTTGCTGTGAGCTATAGAACAACAGAATAAAACCATTGAATAAAACTAGAATAAAACTAGGGTGACAGACTAAAACCATCTCAAAAAAAAAAAAAAAATAGGGGGCTCAGCACTTGTGGCTCAAGTGGCTAAGGCACCAGATACATATACCTGAGCTGGCGGGTTTGAATCCAGCCCAGGCCCGCCAAGCAACAATGACGGCTGCAACCAAAGCATAGCTGGGCGTTGTGGCAGGTACCTGTAGTCCCAGCTACTTGGGAGGCAGAGGAAGGAGAATCTCTTGGGCTCAAGAGTTGGAAGTTGCTGTGAGCTGTGATGCTATAGCACTCTACCCAGGGTGACAGCTTGAGGCTCTATCTCAAAGAAAAAAAAAAGGTCATGGCTTTAAATGCTTAATATTAAAAAAAAAAAAGGAGGCAGCGCCTGTGGCTCAAAGGAGTAGGGCGCTGGCCCCATATGCCAGAGGTGGCGGGTTCAAACCCAGCTCTGACCAAAAACTGTTTAAAATGACTGACTGGCCAAGTGCGGTGCCTCATGCCTACAATCTTAACACTTTGGGAGGATGAGGCAGGAGGATTCCTGGAGACCATATGTTTGAGACCAGCTTGAGCAAGAGCAAGATCCAATCTCTACCACAAAAGAGAAACAGGGCGGCGCCTGTGGCTCAGTGAGTAGGACACCGGCCCCATATACTGAGGGTGGCCGGTTCAAACCTGACCCTGGCCAAACTGCAACACAACATAACATAGCCGGGTGTTGTGGTGTGCACCTGTAGTCCCAGCTACTCGGGAGGCTGAGGCAAGAGAATCTCCTAAGCCCAAGAGCTGGAAGTTGCTGTGAGGAACACCACGGCACTCTACTGAGGGCGACAGAGTGAGACTCTGTCTTAAAAAAAAACAACATAGGGCTGGATGCAGTGGTTCACACCCATAATCCTAGTGCTTGGGAGGCCGATGTGGATGGACTACCGGATCTCACAGGTTGGAGACCAGCCTGAGCCACAGTGAGACCTCCTCTCTCAAAATAGCCAGGTGTTGTGGTGGGCGCCTAGAGTCCCAGCTACCTGGGAGGCTGAGGCAAGAGAATGACTTCAGCCCAGGAGTTTGAGGTTGCTGTGAGCTATGATGCCATGGCACTCTACCAAGGGTGACAAAGTGAGACTCTGTCTCAAAAAAATAAAACAAAAAAACAAACCCTGGCTTGGCGCCCATAGCACAGTGGTTATGGCGCTGGCCACATGCACTGAGGCTGGTGGGTTTGAACCCAGCCCAGGCCAGCTAAACAGTAACAACTGCAACCAAAAAGGGGAAAAAAAGTGTTTATTTTCAGTTTCTTCATCGACAAGACAAGAAAAAAGTTAAAAAAAAAAAAAAGGCAATAACAAAACATTTAGGGAAGGAACCTTATAACCTTTCATAAACTCATTCAGAAAATTGGAAGGTAGGAACACTTCTTAACTCATTTTATGAAGTCATAATAATCCCGATACCAAACTCCAACAAAGATGCATCAAGAAAGGAAAATTGCAGATAAATATCCCTCATGAACACAGATGTAAAAAGTCCTTAATGAAATGTTAGCAAATATTTCAGGCCTCTGGGATCTAACTGAAGAATGCAAGATGGTTTAGAATCTCTAACATGTCCACCGGAATGGCTAAAGTTAAAAGACTGACAACTCAGCTCGGTGCCTGTGGCTCAAGTGGCTAAGGCAATAGTCACATACACCTGAGGGGGCGGGTTCGAATCCAGCCCAGGCCCACCAAACAACAATGATGGCTGCAACCAAAAAACAGCCGGGTGTCGTGGTGGGAACCTGTAGTCCCAGCTACTTGGGAGGCAGAGGCAGGAGAACTGCTTGAGCCCAGGAGTTGGAGGTTGCTGTGAGCTGTGATGCCATAGCACTCTACTCAGGGTGACAGCTTGAGGCTCTGTCTCAAAAAAAAAAAGACTGACAACTCAGCTCAGGACCTATAACACAGCTGTTACAGCAACAGCCATGTACACCGATGCTGGCAGGTTCGAACCCAGCCTGAGCCAGCTAAACAACAACTGCAACAAAAAATTGCCAGGTGTTGTGGTGGGCGCCTATAGTCGCAGTTACTGGGAGGCTGAGGCAAGAGAACTGCTTAAGCCCAAGAGTTTGAGGTTGTTATGAGCTGTGACACCATGGCACTCTACCAAGGGCAACACAGTGACACTCTGTCTCAAAAAAAAAAAAAGACTGACAACTCCAAGAGTTGGTGGGGATGTACAGCAATTAGCAGTTATAAAATGGTACAAACATTTTGGGAAAGTGCCCTCATAAAGTTAAACCTACACCTACCCTATAACCTTGTGATCCTATTCTAGGTTATTTTCCCCTAAGTAAATGGAAAAATGTCTACAAAGACTTGTACAAGAATGTTCATGGCAAATTTATTCCTAATAGCCCTAAACTACTAACCAATAGTTAATAACCCAAGTGTCCTTCCATAGAAGAAAGTAGAAACAAGCTCTGGAACAGTCACATGATAGAGCACTACCATAAGGCAAAGCCGCAACACAGACCTCAAAAACATTATGCCGGCTCGGCGCCTGTGGCTCAAGCAGCTAAGGCGCCAGCCACATACACCTAAGGTGGCGGGTTGGAATCCCCAGCCCGGGCCCGCCAAACAACAATGA